ATTCAAAAGTATAAAAGATATAGCCATTTCCGACCACAGGTCTTGCGAATAATTATTTACACTTTAGTTTACATTGTATAAAAAAATTATTTGACGTCATAAACACCCCTTGATGACGTCATCAAGTTAACCGTTTTAAAAACTTGATTTTTGACAAAGTAATCACTTTTAAAATCGATTTTACACCATTAAGAATTAATTTTATTCAAGATTTGAGGACACATTGAAGTTAGATAATTGTTTAAGCATTCTGAAAATCTACCGGAAAGTTTTTCTACCTTGCTCCTTTATAAAGATATTCGTCATTGAAGTTTGTGCTTTTTTGAAGAATTATTTTATAAAAACGTCAATTTTGCGATTTAGTATTCTCTGGTGTTGGGCAATGCCTTGGGTTGTGGAGCTCAGTTCTGCTTCCTATAGGTATAAATTGTGCATTAGGCTAGTTTTAAAGTTGAAAATCGAAAAGTTGCACACGTGGGGACACGCCCAAATTGATAGAAAATTGCTAAAATCACTGAAAATTGCTGTTTTCGTCATTTTCTGTCAACTATAGAGTGCCGTTGTGATTACAGTTCTTTTTGAAATACTTTGAAACTTTGCATGCTTATCAAACTATATATAAAACACCAACATGACAAAATTTACGGCGATTCAGTATTGGATGCGCACGCAACGACCGCTCAAAGTTTGCACGTGCGAAAGGTGAAAATTTTGCTCATTCGTGATTTCTAACAAATTCTGCTTTGCCACGACAGTTTAATGTCATTATATATGAATTTAATGCCAACTTGAATGAGTATAAAGTGGCATATTCAGTCAGTGATCGACTGATATGCTTACCTAAACACAAGAAAATGTTTTTAAAGGAAAAATTTCGAAATCGTTGAAACTTCTTCTTTATTGAATTTGATGAAGATATCAGTTTATATTTTGTATTTCAACTGTATAAAATTAAAGTACCCTGACATTATAATAAAAAAAGATGATATTTGACCAAAACCCATAATCATGGGTAGAGTGGACCGCTGCCAGTGTCTCTCTTTCCCAAACAAAAGGAAATGATATTAATTTGATTGACCGTTCTCAAATGCAAAATGATACCGAGAATGAAATCGGTCGCTCGCTTTTCCCATTCATTTACAATTGTAATACATTAAAAAGAACTACCCGAAGGCAGCTGTACTCGGCAATAAAGTTTCAATAAACTTCAGCTAATTCAATAAGTAATAACTACCACGCTTACCCCGAAATACTAGGTATCGACCCGAACGCAACCCAAAGAGATTTTTACAGCACCTGATTGATGTAATCAATCTAAACTTATTACAATTCGTAAGCCGTGAATGAATGGGAAAAGCGAGCGACTGTTTTCATTCTCGGTATCATTTTGCATTTGAGAACGGTCAATCAAATTAATATCATTTCCTTTTGTTTGGGAAAGAGAGACACTGGCAGCGGTCCACTCTACCCATGATTATGGGTTTTGGTCAAATAGTACTAACAAAATATAGTAGTAGTATACTATTATAGCATGATGATAGGAATAAAGTAAACACCTCTGAATAGATGTTGGCAGTTTTGTTCAATAGCTGATATTGTACCTCTGGTTTTTATAAGAATCAATTGACTTGGGAGCCACTAGGAAGATTAATAAATTATGACTATAAAAACTCAAATCTTACCTTAATCATTTAATCTGTGATCAATATTCTTGGAGAAGGCAGAACAGTCTTCATGGTCTCTTCGAAACTTTCTTTTCGTCGTTATAGGTGCTGCTGCAATTATTGCTGCTACCTGATGAAATGTGTTTTACATTTCTAACGGCAGACACATAAGTTTGTGAAATAAAAACAGGTGAGATCGTTTGGAATCTTGTTAAACTGGTCAAGTGTCAATATATAATGACACTTCTGTCATTTAAATGATCAAATATTTAATTAAATGATCATGTCACAATCTAAACGACTGAAGGTTTAAACCGACATTTAAAGAACACAGAACAAGACATAACGATCAAACCGGGTTTGGCTTTCCGCTTTTGTATGTCAGTGTTAGCCTAGCTTCTTTAGAAGTCTTCATTTCTTTAGCCGTATCTGTCTTCAAGGTGCTGGAAGATGTATGACGAGTGATGCAAATTAAACCAAACAATATTGTTGTAACTTGTAGGAGCTAGAGGTAGATTTGCGAGAATTGTGTGGGTAAGCCGTAAGAAAGAAAATTGAAAAGAGGTGAAGATATTACTATTAGAAAATAGTGAGGGTGTAGTGAATATTTAAGGACTGTCAAATGAACTTACTACCTTTAGAAGATCAAGAGTCGGACTTCTCAGAAATAAGGTCGATACCGCAGTGTTCCCAGTGCTCATAGAGAGAGAGAGAGAGAGAGAGAGAGAGAGAGAGAGAGAGAGAGAGAGAGAGAGAGAGAGAGAGAGAGAGAGAGAGAGAGAGAGAGAGAGAGAGAGAGAGAGAGAGAGAGGGGGGGTTGGTGCCACTTCGAAGTTTTTATAGTATACCAGTATCTAATTGTGCAACTGACAAATGACAATTCTGCAATAAAAATTAAGAAATTATCAGCGATTGGTAATGTTATTTAATAAATCCTGGTCCCTCACCGATCCATTTGATAGACAATGTTTTAGGAAAATTTGATCTTTTAAAGTAGAAATGGATTGTGGTGGATAAAAAGTATATTTTTCATTTTTGTTGTTTTTAAAGGAGTAATTACAAAATCTATCAAATGGCCCAACACTTGGGACGTTGGGTGTTTGTTTAACCTGGGATATAATGTGAATAAAATTATATACTATGTATGTAAAGTTCATTGTTCATTATTGCCTGAAATTAGAATTGATCAAAAATACTTATCTTGAAAGAAGACAAATAACAAAAGTTGTTGTACGAAGTACGAACCACACAGCGTACTTGTTTAAGTTGTACGAACCATTCACACAGGTCACAGGACACAGGTTAGTGGTCACTAACAACGTCCGAAGTCGAAATGATTTTCAAGTCTGAGTTCATATTGAATATGAAATATCCAACAAGATTCAAGCACAGTGCATCATGATGATGATTTGTATCGTTAAAAGAGTGATATATAGTACCAGAAAAAAATATGTGATGTTTCCAACTAAACATATAGGTACAATGTACATCTATTATCCATAAAAACGTTCATTACAAAATGAATGGAAATTATGGTGGTTTTAGATCTTAAAATGCAATTGAACTCAGATATCATTGATTTAAAATAAAAAACGCTCACCATGTTTGATGCTAGATAGGTTGTTCGTCTTTAATTCCGACGAAGTTGCGGTAGTCCGTAGTTTAAGTTGATAGTCGCAATCATTTTCTTCTCCTTAGCTCACATTTTCTTTCACTGAATGGGGGAGTCATATAAGTGACAAGATCGTGAAATCGCGGTACAGAGATATACTAGTTTTTTCCATTGAAACTAACTTAATATCCAAACAGATTAAAATATTTAAATCAGGTGAGTCGCTTCGAGGTTTCAAAATTTTCAACTCAATACTAATAACCTTACCAGCTTATTTTTGAAATCTGCACTTATCTGCTATCAGTTTGGTCTGTTCAATGAACGATAAATTGGTATTGAAAGATTTCGACTACTATAACCCACAATCGATCCATGTCATTCAAACATGATACTAAAATCTAATTTCCCCTCGATAAAATATCGAGCATGGATTGTACCTGCTTCATTACAAGATATCTGTCTTTAAGGAATTATAGTTTAACTCTGACGTTAGTATCCTGAGGTGACTTAAATAACACTACATAACAACATACAAGCACATCGGTTGGACTGGTCGTCAAATAGAAATATTTACCTTATCGGACCTTATTTGGACGGACATTACATGAACGGACATAATTGTGAACGGACATTAATATGAACGCTCGAAGGCATTCAAAACCATAAAAAATCCGATTTTTTTTCAATTTTTTGACTATTTTTAAATTTCAGCAAATGATTTTTTAATCCATTTTTCATACAGTAAGTAAGAAAAGCAGTCATTAAGCAGTAAAAATTTTAAAATATGTGTACATGATCAGTGTCTAATATCACATATCATCTTCATTAAATGGGTTTTCGTGCATGAAATAGTCAATGCTTAAACAAGCATTAGTGATTTCTAGCTTTGTGGAAATCTTTTTTTATCAAACTTATACCCCGGTCCTGCATTTCATTGTTAACTTTTACAAGCCATTCGGCGTGAAGTGGTTTTATCTTAGACAACTTTAGGTTAACCTTAACATCACGTAGAGCTTTCCTAGCACTGTTTCATTACCTCCCCTCAGTAATATGAACTATAACAACGTCGGACAATGTCCTTGGCAACACGATTTACCGTAATATTTAGAGGCTGGAACAAGTTTGTCATTTTGGCGGGGACTAACTCATGAACTATGTTGTTGAGTGCCATAATTTTGTTGACTTTTTTCCGCCAAGTGACCCTTGAAAACATCATATACTAGTAGTAGTAGAGTTTTCTGTGCCTCCGGCAGACCAAGGAGAACCTTTCCGTCGTTAACTTACGGCACAATAAAGTTCTCAAAGTTGTCATATTCTGGACAAAAAGTTCGAAATGGAAAAATTTTTGAAAAAATTTCAACGGACTTTAACTTGGACGGACATTAATTGAACGGACTTTATTTGAACGGACATTAAGATGAACGCTAGGGCCTCCAGCGTTCAAGTAATGTCCGTCCAAATAAGGTCCGATAAGGTATATTATCTGACAGCATTTTCACTGCACATTCCAACAATGAAACAGGAATGCGGAAATGGTGAGTGAGTGTGAGTGATAATGAGCCAGGTCACTAAAAATTATCCAAACACTTGATCAGAAACTTCATGTTACTTACAATTTTCATCACATTTGTGATAATCTTACATTTAAAAAAATTATTATGTTATTCAATATGCTATTTCCACAATCCACATGCAATAATATTAATATCAGCTAGTATATTGGCTTATTCACCTGGGTTAACACATTGAGGCCGTGAAGACTTGTGAGAGTAGACAATCCCTTTCTCACAAGTTATCACTTTACTGCCCGCCAGCAAGTACTCAGGATCACAAGCTACTGTGATCGCAGTTCCGTACGTGATAGGAAATGTAGCGTCAGTTGAAAGGTAGTTCTCAATCATCATACCCGTACAGCGATCTGCAGATTGACGTTACAGTTTTAGTATCTTCCACTTGTCAACTATCATAAATTTCTTTATTATTCTGATATTAATGATGGATCTAAATTTGTGATTTAATGGTTATCAAACCTATGGTGCAGGTAGGGCGTTGACTGATTGTGAAGGAAGTGTCCCTGATACACGTAATGCCGTTGTCCCCGGCGAGAGTGTGGCCAGGCTTGCAGTTCACTTCCACCACTGTTCCTACTATCACGGGGAAGGTGCTGGTTGTTATCATGTCTGATACAGCTGCTGGTAGTTCTGTACAAGTATCTGAGATGATGAGGTGACCGTTTGTGGACAGGATATGATAAATTGGACAAAGACTGCGAAGTAACGAATTTCAGGTGAATACGGAAATATTTATTCAAATCAACCAATTTTTCGTTTTCCTGATGTTACCGGTTACCTATCTCAATGTTGACGATAGCAGGCTGCCGGTTGGATATACCAAGTGCTCTCAAATTGCCCTTTCTCACAAATCAACACTGCTAACGTGCCTCAATTCCTTAATCATAATCCCTTATTTAGAGCACTACAAAAACCTACCTAAAATACACTGTGGGGAATCCAAGTAACTCCAGTTTTTGTCCTTGATACAGGTGATGAGTCTGCTCCCTGACAGACTGTACCCCGGGATACAGTCCATTTCCACAATTGTTCCGTGATCCACAGGAAGTGAGGTGCTGGTCTTCAAGTCAAATATATTTGGCAATTTTGTGCACTTTTCTGTAAACAAATTTTAGTATTTACATAGAGTCTGATTTCTGATTGTCTTTCTTGGTATAATAATTTTTGAATTCAGATCGATAGTGCAGGCATCACAATGTATTTCACCTTTTGAATAATAATTTCTTACCAGGGATGCAAGTAGGAAGTTGACTCGATGAGATGTAGTAAGCGTCTTGAACACAGGTTATCGTTCTGTCTCCTGAAGTGAGGATGAACCCCTCAACACAGTTCACGAATATCTCAGCCCCTTTCTTCACCGGGAATACAGAGTCCGTTTTCAAGTGTCGTCCTATCGGCAACTCCGTGCAAGTTCCTGTGGAATCTAATATTATCTCCAGTATTATACGAATTGTTTTGTTGCTTATATTATATAAATGCTAAACTTGTGCACGTATATTGAATTTACGTGTTATCACTTCTGCGTGAACATTGTTTGTGAAGAGATTTTCATTTTCTAACCGGCTGAAACAGAAATTGTATAAAATTCAAAAAGATGTATATGTCAGCTCAAGATCGCACGTACCGAAATCATTGCACTTGGGTTTTTCCAGGAACTCGAAGTGCACACCCTGGTTACACGTGATCACAATTTGTCGCCCCTTAATTCTTTCTCCTCCGTACAGCTCACTGACACAACTATTCCGTAACTTACAGGGAAGATCGTGCTCGACTTTAAATGTGAGATATCAGGAGGTAAGCCGGAACAGAACTCTGATTATTATTAAAAGTTTTTATTAATTCAGAAGGTCAACAGTCAACAGTATCGTGCAATTGTGTGGTTTATCTTGCAAAGTAGTAATCTTTTCCATATTCAGCTCTAAATGCATAAAACCGTTAATGGTAGAAGTAACAGCGATAGACTCACTTTCTTCGCAAGAAGGAAGTTGACCATCAATAGTTTGATAGTTTTCATCCTTGATACATGTTATGACGTCACCACCTACAAGAGAGTACCCAGCATCACAATGCACTGTTACCCGGGTATCGTAGGAAACAGGAAATTGGGTGGTTGTTCCTAGGTTCTGGATGTTCGGCAGTTTGCTGCAGTCGTCTGTATGTATATTTTAATTACTAAGCTATAAGTCAAGGTGCGACGATTAAAATGACTTAGGAAATAAAAAGGAGAAAAAACACATGATTTAACACCACACTCATATGCGAAAAATATGATGCTTTAAATTAACTTTTTAAAGAAAAGCAAAATGAAGCCTTGATGGAGAAAAGTTAACAGAAACACTTTATTAATGATAATATGCTATATTACTACATCAAATTACAAATTTGAGGAAACAATAGCGTATCTAATACTTTAATACAGCGGATCTTCAAACCTACAACGCAAAAAGGCTCTTCGTTGAAGGAGAAGTCATCTTCCTCAATACACGTGACAGTGCTGGCTCCAGTCAGAGTGTGTCCGGTGCTGCACATCAAGGACACTTCACTCCTAGGTGCGAGGGGGAACTGTGACTGTGTCATTATCTGTTCCCAGCTTGAGGGTAAGCTCTCACATGAAACTGAGGATGGAGTACATGATTGATATTGTGGTTAATCATATTTTTTTTATTTGTTCAAATAAGTATTATTGAATGATTTTTGTGCAAGGTAACAGACACTTTGTTTACGTCGTAAGTCCTACATTTATTTGCCAAAACCATAAAGCAGGTATAGAAAAAAATGAATTGCAAAGCTTCGAGTCAAATAAAAACTTAAAAGATTTACCGCATTTGGTCCGATCTTCATTTGCTTGAGATCCTTGAGGACAAGCAGTACAGAATCCCGCACTCTCTGCACTGTAGGTGTTACTAGAACACTGCTGACACGCTTCCACGGAACTGTCTTTGTAGGTACCCGCCAGACAGGACACTGAAAAGGTTATCAACCATTAGGAAGTTGGTTCCATGTTTATTTTAAAATAAATTATATTACCCTGATTACGAACCACTCTTCTTGTTCCTGGACAATATTACACTTGATGTCATTATGGTTGAACCGTCGTGTACTGTTTTGGTTTAATCGAAATAGATTATACAAATGTTTTCTCACTTCAGCTGCAGTCTGGTAGTGTTTTTATTTTTCTTACCTTCATCAATCTTGTTGTTGCCTCATTGTATAGATATTTTGGTCTTGTGTAAATTTAATTGCAACATTTTGATGTAAAATTTATTTGAATTTTAAAAATACAAAATTAACAGTTGAAATCCCAATACTCACTACAATTAGTTTTCTCAGAGTTAGCCTCTTTTCCTATTTCGCAAGACCTGCAAGAATCAGATCCTGCAGCACTGAATTCCCCAGCTTCGCATTCAGAACAGGTTGCAGATCCAGCAGCACTGAATTCTCCAGCTTCGCATTCAGAACAAGTTGCAGATCCGGCAGCACTGAATTCCCCAGCTTCGCATTCAGAACAGGTTGCAGATCCGGCAGCACTGAATTCCCCAGCTTCGCATTCAGAACAGGTTGCAGATCCAGCAGCACTGAATTCCCCAGCTTCGCATTCAGAACAGGTTGCAGATCCAGCAACACTGAATTCCCCAGCTTCGCATTCAGAACAGGTTGCAGATCCAGCAGCACTGAATTCCCCAGCTTCGCATTCAGAACAGGTTGCAGATCCGGCAGCACTGAATTTTCCAGCTTGACATTCTGTAACAATGAACAAAATATGAAGTGAGAAGATTATATTATCACAATGAAAATTTAGTTCTATTAAGTATTACTATTCTATTTAGTACTATTATTGATTTACCTCGCTAGCATGCAGCTGAGTATCAGGCAGCTAGCCAGTAAATTATTTGATCCCACGATCAGCTCACTAGATCTATTTGGTTTAAACTTTTGAAGTTTCGAGAACTTATATATCTCAATTCGGCGGAATAGCCTGGGGTCCCCAGGTAATAATGAAAACACAATATTAACCCACCTGAGACCCACTGACCAAATCTGAGACCCACTGATTTATCCCAATCAGAATTAAACTTGATGAATTCTACTGTACTAGTCACCCACTCTGAGGACGAACATTGACCAGATTCAGCAAAATTCATTTCTGCCACCAATACTCCGTTACACTTGATTGAAATTCCTTTCAATCCCTGCTTAATGAATGTCCAAATCCTCACGTCTTTTAGAGCGTCGGGTAGATCTTGCAGCGTAGTATCACCTTGGCAGTAGTGAATGACGAAGGTAGGAGTGTCACTTAATTTCACTACAACTCTTGAAAACTCTATGCCGTTTAAGTGCCCAACTTCAAAAAAGATTCGATCAACACCTCCTATCGAGGAGGTTGTCTTCACTTCAAAAGGTATATCATCCCAGGAGTGTGGAAGCCAGACATCTTTTTGTTGAGTTTCCCAATCGGGAAATTCCCATTCCCCCCCCTGAAAACAAAAAAATCCGAATTATTAAAACATGGACGTGGAAGTTAAAGAGTAAAAAAAAGGATATTCACATTGTATTTTGTATAATGAAATGGCGGAAGCTATTATACACAATATTAACCCACCTGAGACCCACTGACCAAATCTAAGACCCACTGATTTATCCCAATCAGGATTAAATTTTATGAATTCTACTGTACTAGTCACCCACTCTGAGGACGAACATTGACCAGATTCAGCAAAATTCATTTCTGCCACCAATACTCCGTTACACTTGATTGAAATTCCTTTCAATCCCTGCTTAATGAATGTCCAAATCCTCACGTCATTTTGAGCGTCGGGTAGATCTGGCAGCGTAGTATCACCTTGGCAGTTGTTAATTTTGAAGGTAGGAGTGTCACTTAATTTCACTTTAACTCTTGAAAACTCTATGCCGTTTAAGTGCCCAACTTCAAAAAAGATATGATCACCACTTCCTATCGAGGAGATTGTCTTCAATTCAAAAGGTGTATCCTCCCAGGAGTGTGGAAACCAGACATCTTTTTGTTGAGTTTCCCATTCTGGCCCTCCTGAAAACAAAAAATCCGAATTATTAAAACATGGACGTGGAAGTTAAAGAGTAAAAAAAGGATATTCGCATTGCATTTTGTATTATGAAATGGCGGAAGCTATTATAATAGTTATAAGTATATTAGTATATAGCGCTTCCTAACAAATATCTAAGAAACCTGCAAAGAACCAACAGTCAATCGGTAATGCATAAATTACAAATGCCTAGGCTGTATTTCAGGTGCACGTTGCCGCGTTAAAGTTAAATGACTACCATAGTATACAAATATTGGTGGATCAGCTAGCCCAACATCTTTTTACGAGTATTAATATTCTAATATTACAATTTAAAAAAAAAATTTCTGTGAAATCTCAGATTTGCAGGTACTGAATTTTATACAGCTCACAATTTACATTTATGCAATTCGTTTATAAACGAAACGGGACTTTTATTTAGCAATTTTTTGTATTTATAGGTATCAAAAAATGCTTAAGTTTTCGAAACTACTGTTTTAATTAATTTATTAGACATTAAAGTGTATGTATATTTTATAATAAATTAAAGTATATATAATAAATTCTTACCATCGTCTTCCGTATAAGCGCTAGAGCAACTCCGGAAAAGGAGGAGAACCAAATACAATATCTTCATGAGATCTTTATCGGGAGACAATTTATTCAAACCTAACTATATACCAAGCTATCCTTTTGAATAAATGTGTATATGGAGACATTTTCACAATGCATTGAAATTTTTAAACTTGTTCCATTATTCAAAAGTAGCATTACAAACAAACTGTAAACGGCAATCTTCGGGCAATACAAGTTGTTTGTTCAAAAAATAACACAAGTCTTTCATGTGAAAGTGAAACAAAAGGACATTATGAAATCTTTCAAAGTTTCATTAAAACATGATCACTTGGGCAAAATGATTTAAATCATTCAATTTAAATACCCGTGAATATGATTGAAATCAGAACTCAGAAAATGCTTCCATCTCAGTTTCTCTTTCAGTATATTTTATACCAACCAATGGTATAAGACACAAGTCACGCTTAACATAATTTTATTTTTGAACGAGGACGAGAAGACAATAGCCAAGGCCATAACATTACGTATCCTAAAATTCGTTGGTACAACTTTGTATTTTTTTCCTAACTTAGACAGATAACGGGTCAGTTTTTAATGTTCTTAGTAAAATTTGACTCAGTAAAAATTCCTACCAAAACAAGTAGGGCTAACATGATGGCCCATGCCCCATTTTCAAACCAACTCAGGCATAGCTATAAAATTATTTGGGCTTAACTACTTTGTCTGAAACTGATCCTCCAGCAATTCTAGTTATAATATGTCCTATTAAAGTAAAGGATCAAAAACTGGCACGCCAACGTTCCCGATCTCTAAATGTTTACTCGAGTTGTAAGATAATAAGATGAGGTATATAACCCATTTCCTTACAGTCCAGGTTGACAAAATGGAGCTACGAAAATGTAATGTGCTGCCCCTAAATCGAGAATGTGGTCTTTACAATATCCTAGCCTCTTTTGTTCTGCAGAAGAGCAATGTACGAGTAACCTGGTGAGTAGAGAGGGAGTGCAGCAAATCGCTGAATAAGTCAATAGCTTGCCAGACTGCAGAGAGGTCCCGGACCTTTAATTTGAGTTTAACCTTGCTATAGATGTAAAACTTTGAAGCTATATTTGACTAAACGATTAGAACCTTATATGAATCAGTAAAGGGAGCACACGGTATTTTATAACCGTATTGTCATGTTCTATAATAAGAGCAATCCCAGAAAGGGGATTTTAGTTTTCTAGCATAAACTATTATATACAATTATGATATATATTTATTTGTAACTGTAAGAACTTGAAGATTAAACACAAATTTCTAGTTAGCAGAATTGAGAATTGACACAATGGAAAACTTAACTGCCGTTAACGTCTCATAAAGGCCATCCGTCCGTTTTTTTCCTCGATATACCTAGTTAAAGTTAGGCCGATAAGATCTAGTTAGGCCAACAAACCGACTACCGATTTGAGTCTCGGATCACTTGATTTTGAGTCGGATAAGTTACTATTGCAACACAGCCTAACGAATCACTGGAACACTGGAATAGTATTAAGGGTTAATAGTCAGCTCAGACTCACGGATTACCTGTTTTATAAATGCCAAAAGTAGATTTTGTCTTTTAAAATGAGTACATACTCACTAGATTGCATTGGCTTACTTTTATGAAGTAACATTTTTACAAGTAACATTGTCAAATTTAGAAACAAAATTTCGGCTTCAGCAACACATCATGAATTTGATCCACACTCCATGCTTTTGCATTATTGACTCAACACCAATAATGCCGAAACAAGCTTGAATGCCTTAAACTATGTTTCATTTAAAGCTAACTTATCGAGGAGATCACTAGAAGTCTGTTCGAACAATGGCACCTGTTTATATCTCTGACTCACGACCTCACCCTCCCCAGCCCCTTGATCATCCTCTTGATCCATCATAAACCTCACCATGTACTTAACCAACTCCTCACTAACAATTGGTTCCACATTGTTCCCAATCACTCTGAGGATAATGCGGCCGGAGGAGCCGATACTCCGGTAGATAAGCCTGAGTTGTTTGGTATCCTCAACGTAGGTAGAGTTTAGGAACCTAGCGTAGCTGATGTTAGGGCGAATCTCGGAGCAGAGAATGGTGAGAATAGCCACACAGTTAATGAAGATGGATATCACAATAGCACCCCAGTAGAATAGAAACAACCACTGATAGAGGACGTTTCCAGATAAAATACACATGCCCTGCCACTCCTCCAGTCCACTAACACCCCATCTTTTCACCTCGCATGCCACCATCTTTGGGAACAACTTGTTCTGTATTGGGGTGAACCTGGAGGCGGTGTTGTTGGTCACATCTGAGAACCAAAGCGGACCATAGTTCATGAAGGACGCGCCGTGGTTGTGGTTTGTGATCAACATCTTGTTGGTGTAGTGCATCAACCCTAAACTGATACCAAGATACACGAATTTAAACCCGACTAACAGGATGAGGTACCAATGTCGGAGGATTTTACCGCGGAGACTGTCTCGCTGTTCAACGTAGACTGTTAGTGTGTTGTGAAGCCACTTTGCTGCCCGGTTCACGTAATATGGGAGATCGTCAGCGAACTGAGGTCTGTTTTGGAGCATCATAACCACGTCTTTCAGATCTCGTAATCCCAACAACTTGTAAATCCTCCAAGGAAAAAAATAGAGCATGGCCCCGATCCAGAAGTAAAAGAAAACAATCGGGTACCACCTGAGATATATCCGTTGAAAAGGTTTCATCTCGTGAGCTTTAGGACAAATAATTTTACCTCCCCCCACCAGTTCCCTCTCCATACACACGGACATCTCCTCGGGGATAATCCCTGGAAAGGGTGTAGCGGTGTTCTCCAGATCGTAAGCTTCTTTTATTGTGTACATTCCGTACGCCCAGCAGTACTCCTCCGCAAACCTTTGGAAGTTTGATGTCGCCTCAGTGGGTTGGTACCCGTTGGGAGGCGACTGAAAGTCCAAGCAGTTGATGACGTCGTACATCCAGTGATGCATAACCACTGCAGTTCCGAACAGAACGCTAATAAAAACCATGAAACCTCTGTTCCATCGGTCGAATCCGTCGTCTACCCCTATCAATTTGTAGACGTTTGTTTTGAAGTTCTTGCCGACGATAGCGAAGGAAGTGATAACCTCAAACAGTCCCATTCTGTATACGAGAGCTGTGACCTGGGAAATTGGGGTATTAAATTAAAGCAACGTAATAAGTTATGTAACTGTAAGGTTCCGCCTGTAAGATTTGGTATTTGATCTGGATGCTGGTGAAGAGCTGTGAACCATATCTTCAATAGTCACTTTTCAAATTAAATATGATTCACCACCAGTATCAAGAGCTATTACTATCAGGCTAAAAAATCAGGATTTTATCAGAGTCTCTGCTTAGGCTTTGAATTTCGGACGTTTATCCATGTATGTGTCAGTGTGTCAGTGTGTCAGTGTGTCAGTGTGTCAGTGTGTCAGTGTGTCAGTGTGTCAGTGTGTCAGTGTGTCAGTGTGTCAGTGTGTCAGTGTGTCAGTGTGTCAGTGTGTCAGTGTGTCAGTGTGTCAGTGTGTCAGTGTGTCAGTGTGTCAGTGTGTCAGTGTGTCAGTGTGTCAGTGTGTCAGTGTGTCAGTGTGTCAGTGTGTCAGTGTGTCAGTGCGTCAGTGTGTCAGTGTGTCAGTGTGTCAGTGTGTCAGTGTGTCAGTGTGTCAGTGTGTCAGTGTGTCAGTGTGTGGGTGTGTGTGTCAGGGTTAGCTCTTACCGATAACTGGGGAGGGCCTTCATTGTATTCAGTATCATAGTAATCCATCAATGAATGATAAATTTGTAATTAACGAAACCCAGTAAAAAAGAAATGATGTTAGTGCATGAGCAGACATCAAACTGTTATCAAGATCATGAGTATCTGTCGAGAAATGAGACGATTTGTCTTTTAAAACTTATTAAGTTATTTAAACTTACCCCGGTTGTAAAACGACACCCACGTGCACTACATCACTTGAGAGTGAAGGAAAGTTAACTTTCTTTCCTGAATGATACTAGTAGAAATATCTCTCATTATTGGTTAATATTGGATGAATGATAGTGATTTTGTTGTTACTATATCAGTTGCAGGGGGCGTCATTTGCACAAAAAACTTTCAACAATAAGCTACTAAGCCACGGGGGAGGGTGATTGAGTAATGAAAATATCGGAAGTAACCGCAAAATAACAAAGATCAGCTTTTGAGATCGAGCAGAGATCCTGCGGTTTAATATTTTAGGAGTGAGCCCAAATTTGTTAACATGAAAACCGCAAGGTGTTACAAAAACAAAGTCAATCCCACGCAATGTCTTACTAGCGACCTACCGAAACTCAAGCTAACAGACAATAACGTCGAGAACGAATCTTGCTTTCTCGTGGTGTGCTTGTTGAAGTGTGTGAGCTCTCTGTGAGCAAATATGCTTGCTTCACGCTGGTCACGTGGATATTGTTAAAAGAAGCTGGTCAGTAGCTTTATTTGATCTTTTTAACCGAAGTGATAAGTCTTTGTTCGTTGAAAAATCAATATAGTAATAATTAACTGATTACAAATTGAAACGGTTAAATTTGTCGGACGGGAAAATACCACTGATCGAAAAAAAAACGTGCAGCTCACATTAAATATTGAATTCGCTCAAATCCTCGCCAAAAAGGCGTCTACATTTTTTAAACAAAAAAGGTTTACATCATTAATACCTATAATTTACCTAAAATTCAGGGCCATTAAACGCCATCATCCCAAACATTGGGCAAAAATGCTGTTATTAATTTTAGTTTTAGTCGAATATATAATCATTGTTTCATATTTACTTGCAAGACATATAAAATACTTTTGTTTTTCACCACAGCGTCTCCTGAATCAATGTTCCTAAGTTTCCAAAGTCCTATCACATTTGACATCACAGCTGCTCAGCTAGAAGCAATAATTGAAGAAGATAATAATGAAGATAATAATCCCGATTATAGTCTCTAGTCTCTATAATCTTAGTAGGGGGACATCTGTTTCCTATCACAACACTTCTCCTCATCATTTGCTGAAGATGCTGAGGACTGCTTCTTCCCTTGATCTGTTAATGTTATTGTCTTCAGCTCAGTGTCCTCTTGTGTCTTGTTGTCAACTAGCAACCTTCCTTTCGTCTCTTCCCTGTGCAGTTTATTTGATGAAGATCAAGAATGGTAATTGTTGTATAAAATTTAGAAGTGCCCTGATACGAGTCATTCAAAAAGTTATGAGATGAAATGTAAGAGGGCCACACAAGATTTAACCAAGAGCTGGTGAATCAGAATTTCTGATTTGGAACAAACAACGTAAGTACTTACTTAAAATAGAAAGTGAGGATGGCCCCTGACAGAGCGAAGGGAGAAAGAAAGAGAAACATGGCTCTGAAACTGTAGTCCAGACCCACATCGTATACAATGAGGGAGGCAAACGCTCCTCCAAGGTTACAGAACACCATTATCATCCCAAACGCAGCACTGAGAAATAGCGAAATAGTGAAATAGTGAAATAGTGATTTTTTTTTGTTGGGGACCGGCCCGAAGTACCAGCCAATGTTTACTCAAAAAATAATATATATAATAAGTGTTATCAATTCAAACTCAAAACTCACACAAGATTCTTAGTTTAGATCTATATATATCGTATATATACGATTAAAATGTATATAATGGAGCTTGTCGAAGAAAACATAGCTGAGCACATATAAAGTTGCCTTTAGTTGAAATTATCATATTAATGCGCTTTTAGAGTTGTTAGAGTGGAAACAGGCGCAGAGCTATGGCTAGCTAGCTATTCCAAAAATTTGTTAAATTTAACGACTGTTATCAGTCGCACAGCGTCATGCCGTTTTTGCTGGCGAATTGATGGCAGTGTAACTGAGATGGTATGCAGTGAAATTGATTCTGTGATGGCGTGCTTATGAGACAGAGTTATTATAAGCATTACGGTTGATGTTGCGCTCTGATTTCCTTAGTCCCGTTATATTGTATAACATAAAGTTAGGCCATTCGTCTGCAATGCCCTCGTTTTTTGATCAATGAGCATGTTTTTTATGCACCTTTTGTAGATGTTAAGGTTGAATAGACTTGGCAAGGAAGTTGCTGCGACACTATATCTGTTTATTGCTAATAGTGGACCTTTGTAGAATGCTGAATTATTGTAAGGGTGTTTACCGTATTCATCTGACCATAAAGTTGTAAGACTCGAATCCGGATCGGCGACGTTAAATATTGGTGCACTGTTAGGTATTGTTTTCTTTATGGAAGGAGGCACTAGACTTGGGATGTTTTTCAGCTTATGTATAAAAACTAATGCGTTCTTTACGATGATACTATGAACTGTCAATATTTTGTGTACATAGAAACCAGACTTGGTACTTGCTGGTGGTGTACCATCTTTGTACCAGTAATTAACAAAACCTGGTAGTATTGCTCTAAGACCCATTTTTTTACAAATAGTGTTTCTATATGGGATTTGGTAGCAAAACCCCAGACGAGGGAGCAGTGATTAAGGTGAGACTGCACAAAGCTGTGATATATTTGTAAACGTGCTTCCAGAGGCAAATATTTTTTAAGTTTGTACATGACTCCAATGTATCTGGCCATTTTCATTTTCATGGCAGAAATATGTTGCGACCAGTTCAGTTTGTTATCTATTATAACTCCTAAGAAACGGGCTTCTGTTTTTTTTTCGATTGTGACACCGGAAATTACTACATCGCGATAAATGAGGTTTCTTTGTCGAGAAAAGATCATATAATTCGTTTTTTAAGATTTAGAGCTAATCCGTTGTTATCTACCCATTTAACTAAGACATCGCTAAGAATTTTGAGCTTATCATAAACCTCGTTTATATTTTCTCCTGTTAGGAAAATGTTTGCATCATCTGCGTACATGATGAAATTAGCTATTTCTGATATTTGAGAAAGATCGTTTATGTAGATTATAAAAAGGAGAGGCCCAAAATTGAACCTTGGGGAACACCGTAAATAATGGGGTTGGCTGAGGATTCAGAGGATCCAATTGATACAAACTGGTTTCTGTTCATAAGATAAGATTTAAACCAGTTTAAAGCTAGACCTCTTATGCCATAGTGCTCGAGCTTATTCAGGAGTATGGAGTGATCCACAAGGTCAAAGGCTTTGCTAAAGTCAATCAAAAGGAGCAAAGTAACTTGCTTTTTGGACATTGAATTGAGGATTCTGTCTTTAGCATTAAGAAGTGCATGTTCACAAGACCTACCTGGGCGGAAGCCGTATTGATTTTCACAAAGTATATTGTAGGTATCCAAGAAATTTATGACTCGATTCTGCATAAGCTTTTCGTAGACTTTTGAGAAAGTGGCAAGTAGAGATATCGGTCTGTAATTTTTGATGTCAGTTTTAGATCCACCTTTATGTACAGGAACTACTTTTGCCGTTTTCAAGGCATGGGGAAAGACCCCTTGTTCGAAAGAGCTGTTAACAACGTGGGCCAATACAGTGGTAAAATTATGACAGCTGTTGGCAATTTTTAGTGGTTGGATTTTGGTGTCAAGAGTAGCTTTATTCTTAAATAGGTTAATAACGTCTTGAACATCGGTCGTTGTGACTGGTTTTATGTAGATACTATTTGGAGAAGGGTTGCGAAGTGTCCCCTGGGCCCCACCAGGATCGAAAGTGGTCCTACTACTAATTTCAGATTTAATTTTTGGAGCGATGTTTGAGAAGTGATCATTAAATTTTTCTGCTACTGCTGCCGGAGTGCTGACTTGTCCGTTTTCGTCCGACAGTTTTATCGATGTAGGTTTAGCTGGTTTCCTATTCAGAAGACTGTTAATCATCTGCCACTGCTTCTTAGAATTATCTTTGTGTTGTTCAAAGAATTTTTTGTAGTGTATGTTTTTGGCTTTGTCAACGTGTTTGGTGCAAAACTTTTTCAAACGGTCGTATTTTAGCTGGTTCCTATCAACTGGTTCCTTAACAAAATCATGATATGCCTGATTTTTACGTTGAAATAGTGAAATAGTGAAATAGTGAAATAGTGAAATAGTGAAATAGTAAAATAGTGAAATAGTGAAATAATGAAATAGTGAACTGAGGGAGCAGTTTTTATTGTTAAATATTAGAGTGGGACTTTGGTGTCCGATGTTGGTCAAGTGAGCACTGAGTAGAGATTGGCGGGTCCTAATGGTTAGTGGGTATCTGACGATTTAGGAGTTTATACTTCCTCGTTAAGCTCTCTGCCCTCTACAATCAATGACAATCTAAATTATTAAAATTTGCAAACAGCACTTCCTCAAAACATTCAAGAAACCTGCGGATATAAGTTGGGTAGAGCTCAGGAGAGTAGATGAATATAAGGAGGAGCCAGGCGTTCACCACCATACGTTGTAAAAACAGCTCTGATTTGAAGAGTATGAGACCCAGGCATGGGACACAAGCAGCAGTGGAGATCGCAGTAGCTACTCCTGAAGATACGGTGGTGTGACTTGGTGATCAAATCGGAATAACAGCACCTTGGAAGAGATCCGACGATACGTAGGAGGATTAATTTTCGGATTACAACTTTACTCCCTCCAAAATTTCGATTTGCTCGATTTTAGTTATGCTAGTCCAGTTTTTCAAAAAGTGGAGACACTGGAAAGTTTTACAAATTATACCCGGCCTCACCTAGTATCATGCCGGTCTTGATTCTGCCCAGCTTCTCAACCAGCAGAGCGAATATTGGGATAGAGAGGAATTCAGCTGCTGACACCTGAGGTTTTATTTGGGTTATGATGAGTATTGAGTAAATATAAGATTTCAAAAACCTAACTCTGGCTATTGATTCGCTTCACCAACAAAAATTAGAGTTATTTATCAATTATATCAAAGGAGCTGAAATGGAAATTATGGTGGAACAATCAGATTAAACACACAAAATTTCGGTATCATTATCAATCCTAATACATATAAATACCTCAAGGGTTGCCATGAGTTCGGATTTACTGAAAGTGCAGTCGATGTCAACAAAGGTCACATTCAGGTTTGTGGAGTTCATAACTGC